CACGTTTCTTCAAGCCGAAGTCGTCATGGAGAGTTTCCATGCGTGGCAACAAAGGGCTTCATTACCGCGTCTCATCTTCGCCGATCTCGTCATTACGTACCACTCGGCTCTGAAGCCGGCGAAGGCAACGCGATGACGAGGACGTTCCCGCGAGGTCGATGCCGCAGCGCGCAAAAAAAAGGGAAATCGTTTTTCAATTTCCACGTTAGACCGTGAGCTAATGCAACGCGGATTTCCGTTTAACTGTCCGAATTGATTATCTGTTAACAGAATAATATGAGAAACTTGAGAGAAATGGAAGTTTAAAACATTTGTCCGACCTCACTTTGTTTTTTATTCAAAAGAGAGATTTCTTTATATTTTGAAAACACACCACTTGGTAAATCATTTAAACTTTTTGTTTGTCATTTTGAAAGCAGCGTTTACTGTATAAATGCGGTTGGACGATCTAAAGTTTCCGCAGCTAACACCTGCGTACCTGTGAGAGGAATTTTGTAAGCGCAAGAGTCACAGTAGATAGTCGGGTGACAGCTGCAAAGGACAGGTGGAGGAGTCGAATCGCAATTTCAAAATTTATGCAATCCGAACCCGACCAACTTCTACTCGCTAGATTAGTGCTATTGCCGCCTTGCAGATGCGGCCGTCGCGGCATAAAAAATCCAATAATTTAAGTAATATCAAAAAATTTACACCTGTCGTTTCATTAGAGAAGCTATACTTGGAATCGTTATCTCATTATAGATTTTATAAACGAAATAATATGATGTACATGTAGAATTAAACCGGATGGCAAATAGCTTCGCGATCGTTCGAATTCTTGCATATACAGAAACGGGTTTAAATTATAAATTTCAAACTAATGAGTTACAATATTCCTGGAAATAAATACAAGCGGATGATACGTTGGCAAACGGACTCGTTGCGTGCGAAACGAATGGCAATTAACAGCTCTCTTCGCTGTCAACGAAATCATATTCAGATGTTGTTTCTTGCGAGCTCGCGACAATTTCCTTCGCCGCCGTCTCGATTCGATTGCTTCGCGCAAGCAGCAGAGATTCCGTCTTTAATCGAAGCGGCGAGAAGAAGCGAGAAGAAACTTGTCTTCGGCGAACGAATTACGGGAGATCGTAATAATCGGTGGTTTTAACCCAGGCTCCCGTTCGCCGCGGAGTGCTAATCTCCAGGTGCGACGGAGCCATTAGGCGACGCTACTACGATAATAATAATCCCCGTCGTTGTCAACATTGCGATGCCGGATTTACAGTTGTGGTCATTAAACGGCGACGGAAATTACGAGCGATCCTTCTTCCCAGAATGCTGCAGTTTCTTATCCACCGCCGATGATATCCCGATTCGCTACAGCTTATCACTCGCTGATGCGACAGCTTTTCGCGGAAGTGAATCTCGCGCCCACCACTTTTATTCTCTCTTCCCAAGGGCTGGAGGAGGGGAGACTTTGATGGGACGACTCAAGGCCGTCGTTCGTGTGGAGTTTAGCGACTTCTCTTTCGCGTCATCGTGATTATGCCTTTCGCGACGTGCGAGGAGTTGCGATACGTGATACGATCGCCGGATATAACGGTTCCCGAACGTGTTTTCCCGATTAAACGCGTGTATATGTATATACACATATATATATATCATATATGTATCTATGATGTGGAAACTGGTATAGATAGCTCGACGAGCTCGCTTAGCGATGAAATCGATACGATCTCCGCAGTCTTCTCTCACGAATGGAACGCGGTAATATTTTCAGATATCCGTTTTGCCTTTCAACTATGTTACTTTCAAAAATTCTGCCTAATTACATTCCTCTTAACGCGCTAAATTGCATATATCGTGAAATGTGCATGAGTCGCAGTTAGCGTCCCTCCGAGCAGAGAAGTCGTCGCGTGGAACGAGAAAAAAAAACTTGCGATGTCTGTCAGAGATTAGATCGCTAATTGATCAGAGAGGAAATCTTGAAATCGCGAGACGATCGTTGACCCGCATCTTATATCGTGCTCGATAATCAGCATGATCATGAAAACGACTATGTTGCGGCGCGTGTTCTACTCATCTTTGTTCATCCAGGGAGACACGTTAACTTTGCCTCTGTATAACAACCAATAATTAGAACGAGATAACAACCCCGATAAAAGACGATTATTTGCTCTTAGTCGCGCTTACATTTACCAACCTACATATCAATAAGATAAATATAAATAAATTAATAAGAAAGGTATGATCAGTTTTATACATATTATTATTATTGATTAATAATTAGTAACATTATAAAAGAAACTAGTATCTTTGTGAAACTTTATTTTGTAGATGATCGAAAAATATTGATAAAATCCCGTGACTGCTTCCTCTGCCTCTGCCGTTGTCTTAAAATCTCCGAGAAACATTAGAAATTCATCAAGAAACTCTATGAGCGGCAAAAATGAGTGCAATTTTTTTACAAGAAATCTTTAGTTTTTAATGTTAATTCTAAACTTAATTTTATACATAACGATTTCTTACTTTTGCGCAAAACACGCGGTAGCATCGCTTAAGTAAAAAGAGTGTGAGAAGGGTTATATAGTATATTATATTGACGCGCGACTTCCATCCCATTCCCCATCATTGCGCTCTGTGGGATACCGCCGGATGATACAATGGCCACTAATGATGCTTACTTTGATGGCTGTCGAGCGGTCCTTTCGTGCCATCTATCCCTTGACCCGGTGACCATCTCTCACCGTCGCCTTTAACGGACCTCCGAAAAATATTTTTCCTCGCACGAGTGCCGCGTCCCTTTCTCTTTGTCCCTTAAGCGAACACACTTTCCCATTTTTGGACATAATGGATCGACGCTTCCCAGCAGGCAAGCGTTTTGTCTTGTACGCGCATTGATTTCCCTTTCGGTCGCTGTATCTACATTTATCATGTCGCCAATCCTTCCTGTAGGTTACGCATCAAGAATTAGACGTGGGAACGAATAATCGTCTCGCTTGAGAACGGTGACATATACTCGTACGTTACACGCTGTATCAGTCTTATGAAATAAGATTCAGAAATAGGAAAATGGGTGTCGCGTTCTCTCGTGTCTCGTGTCGACGCCAAAGCTCTCCGTTTCCGAGGAATGCGCGCGGGGCACTTCCTCGAGCGCGCGGCAAGCTCTTTATGTAATAATACGCACAAGTGCTTTCACTACCGCTGCTCGAATTTAGGCCCGTGAGCATATAGGTGCATTGCCCTAGCGAGTTCACTTTCTAGTGGTTGTTAGATCGTCGGATTACAGCGGGCTCGCGCTCGCGTGGGATAGCACTTCGCGCGCGCGTGCCCGATTCTCACACATTTCGATGCTCGCCAAACATTTATTCGTATCAACGAAGAAAGCGCCTCGAAGATACTTCGGTAACTCTGTTATCTAACGGCTGCACTTATAAACACAATATAATTTGCGAATTGCGCGAATTGTATACACGTAACTCTTTCGGAGCTTATGCAATCTTGTGACATCAAAGTTGATAACGGCATTATTACGAGCATACCGCTCGTATTGTTACGCGTGAAAATATCGTTCCGTGGAAAAAATGTATAGCTGGTCTGCACTGTGTTACATTTCGTGTCACTACGATTTAATCTATCGTATTTCTTATTATAGATATACACTCGATACATATAGCATACATTTTGTATGTAGGACGTCCTCGCTCTCCACGTAATTGGTGGTATAAAGTTTTGCAATCAAATCGATATCCCCGTTACGTTACGCGGAAACGTTTAATTTCACAAATCAATCTCCAATTCTCGATCGCAGTTTGTTGCCATTCTATTTGAATTTATGATAGCGATACGTTGAAAAAATTGAAAGTTTCGAGACTTCATTGTGATATTACATGTCGTGTTGCTTCGCGCGTTTTGCTTCGTTCTTTGGTGGATTGTGCGACACGAATGTGCAACCACCGTAATGTTTTAACGCGGCAGAATGAAAAAGAGGTGATTTTTCCGCGAAGAAAATCATTCGGCGTGCCTCGTTCTCTGTAATCAGGAAAGCATAAGGGAGGAACGAAGCGCGTTATTAACGGAAAAAGTGAAAGCTACGGATTATTTTGTGTGGGTGTCCGACTTCCTCGTATGATATTGTGTTATTTGCTCTTGCCTTTTCTAACGTCTTTATTAGCGATGCCGGCCGGTGGAAACGAATTACAGCAATCGCTGATGGTGCGGACATACGCCAATCGTCCATAAAGTCTCGTGATTACACCTAAAGTTATGAAACTTAATTATTCGCTCAGCGAGACTGGAACATTTATACTTCGCGCAATTAACGTTTTAAGGCTTCTGTTCACTCATACATAACTATTTCAGGTTATGACATCAGAAGCGAGAAAATACAATAAATATTTTTGTAAATTACGTTTGAATAGAAATATTTTTCGATAAAACAATAAATTTGTACTCGATAAATATCGATAACTTCTTGTTTTATATTTATGTTTTGAAAAGATATTAAATCAAGATTTATTTCTATATTATTGGATATTAATTTAACAATTTGTTAAACTTATTTCATTTTTATACATAATTTATTTCAGTATATACGAAAGGAGAGTTTTCAATATATATATATATATTTTACAAGTTGATTCTATCGATTGTAAGTGTCGTTTTATTGAAATATTTTAAATTTTGATATTAACCTATTTTGCTAGAATTTTTATTGTGTATGTTCTCATTTCTGAGGTTACAATCTTGCATAAAAATGGTGAGAGAATGAAGTCTTAATGAACGATCGCGCGAATGAATACGGTTGCAGACTGGTCGAATTATAAAAATTTAGTACAGTCATTCACTTCTGAAAGATTTCGATTTAGAATTACAAATGTGCTTATAAATACTGCCATTGTATTTTATATGTCTATTATATGTTACGTTTTGCTTCTCGGGTTCTTCGCTAGTATATCTTGTTTTGATTTTTTGTATGCGACGTGATATTAAGATTAATGTACGATGTATTTCTTCCTCAGAGGTAAATACGCAACGGTGAGGAGATGCCGCGAGAGATCCAGCGGCAGGCAGTGGGCTGCCAAGTTTCTGAGGAAGCGACGGCGGGCCCAGGAGCTCAGAGCGGAAGCGCTTCACGAGGTCGCCGTGCTGGATGCCGCGGCCCATTGTTCTCGTCTCGTCTCCCTTCATCAGGTCTTTGAGACCAACACCGAGATGGTGCTCGTCCTCGAGCTGTAAGTACAAGGACGTTTCTCAATCGCTTGTGTGTAGTTTCTCTCGTTGGATCATGTTGAACGTATCCTTCGAATACAAAATAACGTTTATCGTTTGTCGTGAATAGTAAAAGAGAGGTAGTCTATATGTGCATGAAGTTAGCACCGCCATTTTGAAAAAAAATAAAATAAATAAAATTTGTGCTGAATTGTGCTAGATTTGTGCTACATTGTGCCGCAAGAATTAATGACATAACTCAAAAAACAAAGCGTTAAATTGAAAAAAAAAACGTTTTTTTCGCCAGCACTCAGATATACTGTATCGATCACATGAAAGCACTACAAACCCGATTATGGCAGAAATTTATGGGCAAAAAACCGAACACGGAGGGAAAAACTATTTTTAGTCATAACTTTTGGTGTTATGAAAGAACGGCTGAAATCTTTGCGGCACAATGTAGCACAAATCGAGCACAACTCCGCACAATGTTTATTTTGCCGATTAAACAAAATGGCGGTGCTGGCGAAAAAAACGTTTTTTTCAATTTAACGCTTTGTTTTTTGAGTTATGTGACATAACTTATGTCATTAATTCTTGCGGCACAATGTAGCACAAATCTAGCACAATTCAGCACAAATTTTATTTTATTTTTTTTTCAAAATGGCGGTGCTAACTTCACGCACATATAGTCTATTGTTTAGATTGGTGATTCGCAACCTGAGGTCTACCGATTCAAAGCTGAAAGTATAAGAAAAATTTTTCCTATTTATTACATAAACATTAACGCGACCAGCAAGAGTAATAGTAATGTAATCGAACTATATAAATTTTCAGTATATATCGAAACACGGTCGTACTTAAAGATTTAAAAAGATTGAGTATCACTGATTTAGATAGATTATTTATTTGTGCCGTGACGAAAATCGAAATAAAATTATATGATGGACACCGACAATACGGTAACTTTCTATATATGTCGTAACAACTGTTAATTGCTCCAAAGTAGGACAGAAGTGTAAATTTGTGATTTAAGCGTACGTCGCTAGCGGTATCAGTCATAAAAATACGTTGCGCTGATTCGCCCAACACGTAGCGTGCTGTGTAAATTTGAATGAATTTATGGAACAAACCGACGCGTGAAAAAGTATATTTACATGCTAAGCGTAAATATTGTGCAAGTTGTCCGAGACAGGTAATGTTTATTGTGACAGGGCTCCTGGCGGCGAATTACAAATGATACTCGACCGAGACGAAGTTCCAGAGGAACGGCAGGTCGCCAGATTACTGAAGCAGATTTTGGACGGGATAGCCTTTCTGCATTCCCTGAACGTGGCTCACCTCGACATCAAGGTAAGTGTTTTCAAACACTCGAAACTACGTTTATATGGTAAAGGCGGGCCTAACGCCGACCGGCTGGCCAAGGTGTGGCTGTTAACATCCAAAATTGCATTCGTGTCAAAGGGATATAAATATATCCAGCGTATCGCGATTTCTTTCTGAGAAGAGAAAAGTTATTTAATTATAGTATTAATTTTACTGTTTTTTTTTTTTTTTAAATAACGCTTGCAATTCTCAATAATGTTGAATAATAACTTCCTTGTCCGACTTTGAACGTGGATTGAAAAATGATCCCGGACGAGTGTTTTGTGCAGGATTTCATCAGTGTTTCATTATAGTCTTATACGCACTGTTAAACATCAAAGGAGCAATGGTAATCCAATTCTGTGAATTAAATAGCATTTTGTTATTTTTAACTTATTCAAAAATATAAATCAATCCATTTTGTGGTTGAATTACTTAATTTCAAAGCAAACGTTTATATATTAACTCTCTAGAAATAAATCAGTGACTTTAGTACTATGTTTATAACTGATGTAGCACACACACACACACACAAATATTTACTCTTTTTCAATAACATACTGAGTAACGTACTACAGTTAGTAACACATCATACTGATTCATTTTTAGAGATTATGATTTTCTACAAATTTAATCTACAGAAAATCATAAAAGTGAATCATTATTACTGAAAAGACAGTAAATATTTGCTTAATTACATCAGTTATAAGTGTAGCAGTAAAATCAGTGATAATACACTTTTAGAGAGTATAATTTTAGTAAATAATGAACTGATTAATTTGAGTCTTTAATACATTTTCTTAAGTACAATTATTTAACTCCACTGTTTTAGTTAAATTAATGACATGTTGATGAGCAGTGGCTATCTATAGAATAAATGATTAAAAAAGTAACACAAATTGTGGGTATAATTGACCTTTTGAATTTAACAGTGTATGTCAGAGTTTTATCAGCGATAATAAATTCCTCCGGGTAACGTTCACTTTTGCGACGACTGCAAGATTGGGGAATAACCCGTAAAAACGCGAGCGAGATACTCGCCGTGATTCGCCTCTTCGGTATATCTCTAGACGTTAAAAATAACAAGCCAGGCACGATAACGGACGAAGATTGTCGCTCGTGCAAATAATTCTTATCTCGTTTTTCCGGCAGAGGAGCGCAAAGAGAACAGAATGCTTCACCTGAGGCGTCTTTTGGCGCGCGGCAGGTAACTGCAAATTATCACGATGGAAACAATAATATGAAAGAGTTGGCGATTTGTTCGATGCGATAAAGATAATTTTTATGAAGAACGATATCTCGAAAAAGACGAGGTGCACTTCTGAGTTTTATCAGTGAAATTATCGCGGCGAAGAGGAAGAAGAAACGGTTTACCACCGGTTTTCTCTCTTCCTCTCTCTTTTATCTTTGCAAAAAGTTTACGAATCGCGACCAAATACGCGTTCGGGGCGTCTTTATCGCGCTGAATCTCGCCGAGCTGTCGCTAGAAAGAAACTCTCTGGCAAGAGATCGACGACATTTCGGGCGCCTCTGGCAATTTCTCAGCTGCGGAGCTATGCACGTTCCGTATCGCAGTCTTCACGATCGACCTAGATCGTTATGTAAACGTATGCGTGCACGGCGGTTCTCTCTGCCAAATCGGCTGATCGGGAACGATTCCTGTACACCGACAGTATACAACCTTGCGTGACACGCACTACGTTTCGCAAGGCAGATAAACTTCTCAGCGTTTTCTGCGAGGTTGACATTCTCCTTGATATTGCCATGTATCTTATTACATTTTCGCGGAAATATGCACTTGTATATCGGCTGAAAAACAAGGCAGTGAACAGTGTGTACGTGTATATACATATAATATATATTTTATTATTTTTTGAATACACAAAACGTATATTTTGTAAAAAATAAGAAGTTCCTTTTTTTTGCGTATATATCTTGAGACGATCAATTAATTAATGGCCGGAAATATATACTTGTATTCAAAATAGATTTTTAATTTGGTTTACAAAATAATATATAATAAAACGAAATAAAAAAACTATATATTCGTACATATTAAATGTCCAATGGAGAAAGTTCTTTTTTATTAATTTATGAATAATTATCTGTAGTAAATTTTTGCATCTTAGCGGCTAAAAATTGAAGTTATTTTCTTTGCTGAAAAAAATCCTCTTTTACTTTCTTCTGATCTAGGAATTTATTTTTTATTCATATATTTTTTAAAAAGTATTAAAGTAACTCTATGTATAATACTGATCTCAAATGCTAATAAATTGTAGAACAATCAATAATGTACAATATAATTAATGACTTCTAATTGGAGTGTAAAAGCAGCTCAGGTCGTTTATGTAAAAAAAATAGTCGATTATACATAGTTAATCTTAGTCGGCAAACGTAATTCTATCAGTAGAGCTGTATATGGACATTTTTTCACGCAAGCATTTTTGCACGTCTACACTTTTACACGTGCACACACGCGAATCTCACCAAGAGACATAAAAGCGATAGAAAGAGCATTTAAAATCGGTCTTGCCGTCCACGCCGTTATGTCACCTGACACTTTGTGGTGGAAGAAATGAAAATAGATCGGGCGTGCATGCTTCTCTATGATTCATCTAATCCCACGCGCCTCTCCCTTCGACGTTCCTGAATCTCGTCGTAATCATCTAACCTGCGCGACTCACGCTGGCATAACTTCTTTTTTCGCAATTCGGCGGGCACACCGCATTCTATTAAAGAATCGATGACACGGGCGCGAGCACGTGCGTGGCCTACGAAACGAACAGCGCACAGCGATGGAATTCCACCACGAAATGGGCGCGAATGGCACGTTTCTGTCCCACGAAATATTTTTGTATGCGGCGTCGAGGGCGTCTGTACGAAAATAGCCTCTCGTATTTCGCCGCCGTATTATGCTCGCATCGTGACGTTTCGCGTCAAGTTCCCGGATTACTCCCAGTATTTTCCGTGAGACTAAAAATAATTTTTCGTCGCAGGCAGAACTCCATTCAAGCGGCGTGATGTTTCATAAAAGTCGCGTAATAGAGCCGCGGGGTGTCTTCCTTAATCTCAGGCGGGTGGATTTGGGAACCAGGAATAGCGCTGTGTAGGAACCCTATATAACTGGCCACTTTTGTCAAAACAAGAGTGAGGAAGAAGGCTATATACTGTCCCTTTTTATATGTATACGCTAATTTATACTATCTTATTCATTCTAATTTACTGACAAAAACAACGGGCTGATCAAAAGTTTGTCATCTCAGACTCTGTTATAGGAGGTCTCTAGAAATAACTGATTCAACGCAACGTCGAGAGCACCGAACGGAGATCCATAAAGAACATAATTGAGCCGAAGAGAGCCGTTAATATTTTCAAACGGGCGATCCTTGCGGGGCTAAAAATAGCTTGTTTATCACGCCGGGCTGCCATTGTGGCGATCATCAGAAATAAATCCCATTTTAACTTTCATACGCCTCGTTATCTGATTATTGCGTGTCGCGTGTCGCCCGCTGAAAATAAGAAAGCGACGCGAGAGCAGCTTTGATTTTTTTTTTTCTCCCATCGCATCGGCGCGGAGCGATCGAATTTGCGAGGGAGGGTTGTAACGACGACGATGAAGTTTTATGCGAGCGTGTCACGGCGAGAGCGCGAGAGACGTCGTCCCAACTGACAACCAGTCTTTCCTATTTAGCGGCGAAGATTTGCAATTTGCGATTTGCACACCGCACTCGCGTGCGCGCGTAGGTATATGAAGTACGTGTTTATCGATTATCGAGGTGATCGATATGGGTGAGCCAAGGCGAGCGAGTTGTATTAATAATGTTCCGACGGGGCGACACGCACATGTCAGGCTCTCGCACGCGTTTCAGACTTCCACTTCTTGGTCCTGAATCTCCTTTTTAACGTATCTCGCATAACGACGACGTTAGTTATACAATCCAATTACTTGGCTTTCGCGAATTCGCGTTAATCATATTGATTTATCATTAACCAATAAATACACGTCATCATTCGTCGTTTTGCGCGGTTTGCAAAAGATTTATTGGAACGTAACTATAAGTGTCATCAATTATTTCGTAATCGAAATCTTTTCCGCTGCGGTAATCACGCTGAAACATATCGCGTGTTTCTATCGACCTTTACGGTGTCTTATCGATCCTATGCCGCTGTGATAAAACCGATGATTACGCGGAACGAAGTTATTCTGATAGCTCAATGTTTTCTAACCGATAAGATAATTTCGCGCGTGAATGATACGGCGTTATTGCGGTACAACTACGCAATTTCAGCAATTCTAATTTGTTCTTCTAAAGAATTACTGGCTGTTTTCCAGCTAAGACACGCTGTGTTACATTGTGTAAAGTAATTGTTGGAACACTACTTAGTTCAACAGTGTATAACATCAGAGTTTATTACAGTCCTTCATTTTTATTTTTAAGAGTAATTATTAAATGAACAAATTTTTTAATTTAGACTTAAATTATATATAAATACATGTATTTTAGGATTAACGATTTTTGATAATTTTATTTAAAAAAAAAAAAGCATGATTACCAAATAATTGTTTAAAAAGTTGGTAACACTTGTATTTTACACGCTCGTACTTAGCTTTTTGCAGCGTCGAGCAGTGTAACATTGTGTCACAAGTTAGAACACTGTGTTATACACTGTCATCGTCTATCTTGATGGAAAACAGCCATTGTTATAATTCCAGATTTTCCCATGAGACTCAAAGAATCAAGCGAAAGTGATATTTTTGGATCGCGAATTTCATAAGCGACGGCGATTAATTAGCTCAAACGGATAATAATAATACAGTCTGCTCTCTCGGCGGCTAGCAGTGAATCATCGTTATTCAGATGTGCTCCGCAACATTTTCGATTCATTGACCTGCGAGAGCGCATGGCGTTTATTTTTCGCGCGGCCATTCAAGAACGCCGAGAAAAATAAGCCGATGAAGACTTCGACGATCGATATGTCTTGGAAGG